CCCGTTAGTCTAGATGGTCTAAAAATCTAAAGTAGACCTTTTAGACTTTTTAGTTTAACGGGAATCATTAAATCATTAAAAACAGGGGCCCAACGGACATTTTTTAGGCGCTGGACAAAACAAACCTGGGAAATATTTCCAGAAAGAAAGGCGAACAAAGCCAGATTACAGTATCAAGAAAACCCAAGAATAAGATTCATCTCACTTTTCTTTTGTTTACCAACTTAGAAACATAACATTAGTAATCAACATTCAATACATCTCCTCTATCTACATATTCATCATTCAGTGAAGTGATAGCTGCGAGATTATCGTCTAACAGAACAGATCAAATCAGCATCTCCTCGCCAATGCCCACGTGATAACAAAAAGGCCAAAGAATGGCTCCATCACCGATGAAAWCACCGGGGAAGGCATCTGGTCCTRAAAAGGTGTACCTCTTCAACTGCCCCTACGAAGAGAAAGCAAGTGCGAAAAAGGCCGGTGCAAAGTGGGATGCAAGCGCGGGTTGTTGGTATGTCCTTTCATCGCAGAACCTCGAAGCATTCAACAAGTGGCATCCAAACGAAAACAAGTACTTGGTTTGTAGCTACGACGAAAAGGACGATGCCAAGCGCGCAGGTGCCAAGTGGGATGCAACATGCAAACAATGGTATATTGCTGCAAATCAAGACGAATCCAGATTTGCACGGTGGTTGCCATCCTCGGCCGGAAACCGTGCGACAAAAGCAACCAAGCTGATAAAGGGCAAAAAGTCAGAGATTAAAACGACCAAAACACCAACTAAACTATCGACCAAAAGTCAGCTCGCTACCATTCCCCGAATCAATGGTGACATGACTGTGGCACAGCTTCAGACCGAGTGCAAAGCCCGAGATCCGTCAATCAAGGGTATCACAACAAAGAGAAAAGATTGGTTCCTGGAGCACTTGAAGGTTGGTACTCCATGGATATCTGCAGAAGTCCCCTACCTAGATTACGAGCCCGAATCTCCTCCTCGAAAGCGAAACAAAAGCTAACGACTTCAGCTCTGAAGGCATCAAAATCAAACAGTGACACGAAAAAGAACAACTCGGCCGTTGCTAGAATCAGTGCAGACATGACAGTGGCACAGCTCCAAATAGAGTGTCGCGCAAGAGACTCCGGCATCATCGGCATTTCAAACAAGAACAAGAACTGGTTGTTGGAACATTTGGACGTCGGAAGCAAGTGGGTCTCACAAGGTTGGAAAGAGAAGGACCTACAAAACCTTATTTCTGCGAATAAGAAAAAAGCGAGCTCTCAGACGAAACAACAGAGCAGCTCCAAGCACAAAGATTCTGTCGATTGCAGAGATATCGAGGGTATGGCCAGGCAGACCAGCAGCAAAAACAATTCAAAGAAACGTCTTGGAGACTTTCCCGTTAACAACATTACTATTCCCCAACAAGTTGGAAAGAAGGCAAAAAAAGATTCAACATCCGCCAAAAAGCCATCGGTAAAGCTTGTCGCAGAGAGTGTGCCTGATGCATCATTGCAAAGAAAGAGGCCGGCGAAGAAGGAACAAACTTCGTCAGCCAACAAAAAACATAAGATTAAGGATGGCAATCTAAAATCAGCTGATGTAGTTCTTTTGTCCACTAGAAAGAAGGAAGGTCCTAAATCAGCTACAACGGTCGAGGCAGAAACCATTGCCAGTTCGACTTACACAAGAATTACCAGCAAAATG